AATAGGGAGGAGGAAATTCATACTTTTCATTACTTTTCTGAATATCAATACATAAGAAACATTATTAATTACTAAAAATAAACTTCAAGTCCATTTTAAAACAATTGTATATCCCATTTGTTTCAAAGAAAACTGCGAACAATTCAAAATGCTAAAAATTGAATGTTTTATTTTACGTTTTTCAAGAGGTTCAGGTTTATTTTAAACAGACTATATAACTTACATACGCGTACGCTTATGCGCAGTGAATAATGATCATGTAAAATGCTCAGACATACCACAGAATGGTATATAGAAAATACAAACAGTAGTCAATAGCGTCCCCTATTATGAACCAAGTATTCATCGTTGTGACATATTTTGCATAAATGTCAATAGAGACACTTTCATTTTAAGAGCGTTTATTTAGTTATATTTTGCATTGTTTATGTAGCACTGAAAAAACTTAAGTCTGATATAAATCCCTTAATTGCTTCTCAAAAAGTATGAAAACAGTCATCATTTTAACGTGTCAGGCAGAGATAATTCTCGATGGGAAGTATGTACTTATGTCTAAAGCAGTTGACAGCAAGGGCCAAGTATAAAATACTAGCCATGTCATGGCACACACTTTATCATTATTTGGCTGAAGATGAACAGAATCACTTGCAGGTAATTTAATTTTTTTTCTGCTATACTGATTGAATATATTTAATAGATTTAAAAAATATATTCATTAAAGAACATATAACAGCAATGCCTTTGAATTCATTCTCTGAAATTATATTAACCATTCTATTTCAACAGATCAATTCAAGTATAATTGAAAATTCTTCAACATAAACAATCCTTCCAATTTCTCCTCAATAAATATGTCTACATATACATCAGCTTATTAGCGTACCAATTAAACGAGATGCCCCATGACGGTACATTTCGCCAGCAACAATATGTAACAACAACGAGCATATCATCATATGTCCATCGGTACATTTTGCTATCGGCGACAATAAGTACCAAGACGAGTTTTTTCCCTGTCTGCAAAATGAGGTCAAAATGTACATTTTATATATTAAAACAGATACTTGTCAAAAGTACGCAGCACAGTTAAGGCTACAATAAGGAGGCGGGGCCTAATTTATACGGGGAATGCTAACTATGACATCACACAAAAATATATGTTTTTCAAATTACCACAAAATGAAATGATTTGCTATTTTAAACTGTTTTGGATAGCTTTAAGCTACATCAATACTTACTATTGCATATATTTTTGTCGTTGGTTAAATCCCACACAGCAATTTATAAACAATTCACTGATCGCAATGCACTTGTCAATGTGACGTCTTATCGTAAAATTTGACGCAGTTTATATGCAGTGAGAGGCGGATCGAGTTATATTTTATACAATGAAACAAGTATTTTGTAATTAAATAAAATATTATTTGCCGATATATGAGGCCATTAACTTGAAAGCGATGTCTATTTATGAATTCATTCGTACACTTCCCGTACATTACCTAGACAAGCGATACTGCCGTATATATTTGTATGCAGATTCATTGAAGGGTAATAGAAGGATCGTAATAAATAGATATATTGCACGGGCATACCCTAAATAAATTATGATAAGCTTTTACATATAAACTCAAGAGATATAAAGATAATTGAAAAAGTGCTGCAAACCTGATGAAATCTTTCAAATGAATTAATTATATCTATATTTAATGTACTTGACCAGCAAAATATTCAACATAATTAACAAATGTAATTTTAGTAATTAGAAATTAGAATCTTTATACATGTAGGTTCGCAGCATTTTTCACAAACTACAAAGAGTGTTAAAAAGAATTATAAATTAAACTTTTTAAAACTTGGTTATGCCCTTGCAATATTGGAATTTACAGATAACCTAAATACTGCAGGTATATTTGCTAAAATCACGTGACTGCGAAATTACGTGACAAGTCTAAAAAAGAAATCTAATCGTCCTCAACATGTAGTTTTCAACCACATTACATTTGTCCTATATAGTAAAGTCCTAAAAAGAATCGCCCATCCTTGTAAAGAATGTATTTTATATGTAAAAAAATTCGCCGAAATTTCCATTTGGTACCGTAACTGTACTGTGTATCGTACGGGGGAATGTTTCCTACCAAAATTCTTGGAGGTTATTCTATGTTTACTGCACCATTTTGCCTTCTTATATCGCAACTCGTATAGAGTAGATAAAAAATGACAATTCTGCATAAAATGAACATTGATCTTTCTCTAAGTGAACAAGTTGTATGAAATTGGAGATATGTGTCCCCTTTGATTACGATTTTCCTGTATTTTTACGCAGTTTTATATTTTTAGAGAAATTCAGAGTATTGTGCTTAAGAGCTTTTCATAAAATATGCCTACGTAATAAGTCTGTGTGATTTACACATCAAGGACATAAAAAAATAAGTTTACTGTGGGGCTAAAAAAATAGGCACATATTGTCTCCGATGATTATATTTGTTTTAAAACAATATGTTCTAACGGACGACAATTTATTCAGTAAGGTTAGGTGCATTTTGTCGCCAAAGACAATACTATGTGTAATGAACGACAATCGCATACTCAAAAGTAAAATTCTGAAATTCTTGGAAATGATAATCTCAACACGAGAAGGATATTTATTTTAATATCAAAGGTACTAAGCTACGGAAATGAATGCCTCAATTTACATTTGTGAGGCACAGAGTAGCAAGTATCATTGTGACTTCATTAAAAATTAACAAGTAACAAAAATAAATTATACCGCAAGATGAAGCGTAAATGAAAGATTGCATGCATTTGTTTTATCGAAAATTGTTTAATTAATGCAAAACCCTACCATTTGGTAACAATACTGTGCAATCACTTATATTGCATTGACGCAGTACAAGTGATCCAGGGGAAGGGATCCATTATTTTAATGATTATAAAAATGCTAATTTAAATACAAAATCATCGCCAAGATTAAAATCTAATCAATAAAATTAAATACCAAACATTTCTTTAAACCAATTGTGTATATAATTAACTTTATTTAGACCTTATAAAACTGCAGAGAAACAGAAAGAAAAGAAACTCGTTAATACGATAAGCATATTCTCGATAAACCTCAAAAGTGCAAAGGCATAAACTAGATCGTTTAAGCTGAACACGGAATACCCATTGCTTATATCATGTATATTTTAAAGAGATGCGAGTTGATTCTGTTATAAAGAATATTTTTTATTCTTTTTCATTCAAGCTGTAGATTGATTGATAGATTGTATATTGTTTTACGTCCCATTCGAGAATATGTTTCACTCATATAGAGACCATATACCGGTAGAGGGCTTCAAATTTTGACCTTTACTCGGCACTCAGGGCCATTGAGCAGTGAGGGATCTTTATCGTGCCAACGCCTGCCGTGACACGGGGCCTCGGTTTTTAAGGTCTCATCCGAAGAACTAAGAAGTGAAAGTTTCACTTCAAAGTGTCGAGCGCATGGCGAAGGAACAGTTGCAACCAATTTTTTATCGACTTAGGTTAGTCGCGGCCGATATTCGAACTCACGACTCACGGAATACTTCTCCAACAGCACGAACTAGTTCCTAACACTTTTAAGGTGAGGGATGCATACTCCTTTTGCTGTTTGCCAGTTTTTATGGCCATAAAACAACTGGATTGCCTTGCACTAGCATCGTTTTCTATATTCAGCCTAACAATTCTATTTTTAAACAAGTCACATAAAACACAACATGCGATATAACTGGAACTAAATATAATGCAAACCAATTTATTATCGGTAATTATATTACTTTTCATACATCTTTATAGTTACTATTTTTACAGTGATAGTTAAATGTATTGCAAATTGAGAAGGTGTAAATGTCGCATTTACCATTGCTTTGCTTAACAGCTTAAATACGCTTTATCAGGATTTCTATAACATGATCTTCCCTTCTACACCTTCCTGTTCAGTAGCCAAAGTCCTCTTCATACCTTGATGTTTTAGTTTTTTTTATAATACATTTTAATTTTTATAAAAACTATTCACTCAATTGCAGACTTTTTTCGTTCACATTTTTTTCCTGTGTCATTCAACTATTCTTCACACTGGAGAAATACATAAAAAATAATATATCTACAGTAAAAGATATCTAAAATTATAAGTCATCTTAGACAACATAGAATAAGAAAAAAAAAGACACATCATTACAGACTTGAAATGATACTAAGAAGAACTAAACGAACCACACAAATATAGTTCTAAAACAGAATTGTTCAGTTTCCATCTTGTTCCTCATTAAAATCGTACAAAACAACTAAGAAGATTACACACAGCCCATATACATGTTGCGCGTGTTGTTTCTTGATTTTATAGATAGTAGAACATGAATGCAATTCATTGGCATGTTACTTCAACTGATCTTTCTCCAGTTTAACGCATTTGGGATGAAATAGAAAGACCTAGGTAGCGTGTCAATGTGCTCCAGCGGTTGATTGTTATTTTTAATCGCACATAAATGGTTGTTGCATGGTTAATTCACCATTATTGATGGTATGAATATTTTTCAGATATACCTTTTCTCTCAGCGTCAAAATAATACATGTAATAATAATAATAAATTACAAAAATAAAAACTACTCATATCTATATTATCTTATGGTCTTTTCTCCTCATTTTTGGCATCAAATATTTGGATACACTAAGAAAAGACAAAAAAATACACAAAAATGCACACTTTTGATATTTGCGCATTTGTTCTTGCATCTCTTATCATAAGCTGAATAGATTAAATCCAAAAATGTACATACGATTATTCTTATTACTTGAATGTTTCAATATTTACAGGTCATGGATGACACTATTTCAATAAAGAGCTTTTGCCAAATGACAAATTGGAATACTACTAGTGTAGCAATGTTCAACATTCTCGTTTATCTTTTGATTTGAGGTATACCTCTGATAAAAAATAAGTCCTTTTTTATTGCAGATGGAGCTGTAAAGAAGACGTCTAAGAATATCATAATGGCGACGAGTAAAATTTTCTGGCTTTTGAGCTGGGGCTCCTTTATTACAGTATATATGACAAATTTTAATTATGGCCGAAGACATTTGGTGACGGACACTTTTTCAAGACGAAAGGAAACCGTTCTACTACAAAAAGTACTTCAACTTGTCAAAAACCAAGAGAGAAAGATTACATCCATCAATGACAAACTCTCCCAGTGTGAGCATCTGAAGAATAAAAAAAAAAAGAAACTGTATTTATTACTCTATCAATATTGTAAATCTGAATCATATGTGGTAATTAAGCATCATTGTAGATGAAAAAAAGAATAGTTTAAAAAATAACATAAAGCGTCAATTAACACTTTTGTAAATAATAAAACTTGATATTTAATTCACAACTCTACTCCAGGCAATGATACATTGGTTTCTTAATATATCTTTACTTAAAGTATATACTCTAAAATAGAGTATACGACTTTACTTAATTATTTTATAAATACTAATCTCCGACTTTCATTTTCTTCTTTATAAATTCAGTGTTTTCGAGAGAGAAAAGTATATCTTGAAATTACAGGGTTTGACACAGTATACGTATATGATGCTAATATTTTATTTATTTATTTTCAGGCCTTTCCATATCAGGAACATTTCCTTATGGAAGCCATGGTAAACGCTTTACAATTTTACCGGCAAATTCCGGAAGCTTTCAATTTTTAATTTTTAATGAGCCTTATTTCACTATATATTTAGCTTTTCGATCATTTTAATAGGAAATCCTGGATACTAGGACTTTCTTCATTTTTTTTTACCATAGACCTGTTGTTCATTACAAAAACAAGATGTATTTGTAAAACAATGATACCCTCATACGGCAGCTTTTTGCGAAAATTCAGGTTTTTCAAATGCAAGCCAAGCTCCGAGGACAAGGTCAAATACTCCAAGGTCAAGGTCAAATGGTCTCATTAAAGGTACTTAGGGGAAGGACTTGTCATAATAAATACACATGTAAAACAATGAAGCTCTAGCTCCATCAGTTCAAAAGTTATGGCCAAGGTTAAAGTTTTTTTCAAAAGTAGGTCAACTCTAAGGTCAAGGTCAAAGGCAAAATTGTTGATTTCCAAAGGAAGGTCTTGTCATAAGGAATAAACCTGAGAAATATGAAGGTCTTAGTACTAACTGTTCAAAATTATGGCCAAGGTTAAAGTTTTTTAAATCTCATATGTCAAGGATGAATGGTCAAAAATATTTATATCCTTAGAAAATTGGCTTAGTTTGGTTTGGTTTGAACTTATTTTATTGATTTTAAATTTACAAATGGAATCAGGCAAACGTTCTAAAAACTTAATACGCCCTTTCCCTACATGTGAATTATATCAAACATATTTACTAGGAGAGTTCTTGTCACAATGAATATACATGTGAAGTGTGAAGTATGAAAGTCCTAGCAACAACAGGTCAAAATTTATGGGCAAGGTTAAAGTTTGTTAAATTTTTGCAAAAGAGGGTCAAACTCCAAGGTCAAGGTCATGAGGTCAAAGATATTGAAACCCAAAAAAAGGCCTTGTCACAAGGAATAGACATGTGAAATATGAAAGCCATAGCTCCAACCAATCAAAAGTTAAGGGCAAAGTTAAAGTTTTCGCGGACAAATAGAAAACAGATAGGACATACGGACGGACAGGACAAAAACTATATACCCCCAAATCATCGATTACGGGGATATAAAAATAGAATTTTTATTCCTTGGTCTACATCTTCACTCCTTTCTTACAAAATTTAAAAATCCATATCAATATTTCGTTTTTAAAATATTAAAACCATCTTAACAAATAATGCGTATTCGGTAGAAAATCATGTATGTTTTTTTCATTATCAAATGCGCGTATTGTTTATTATACACAGCTTGCTTGTAAGTAATTTTTTGATAATAAAAAAATAAGCATTATAACTATAGAGGGGAGTATAAAGTTCTTGTACACAATACAAATACAGCAGAAACTACATTTTGTACTTAAGGAAAAACTTCAATCTATTCGGGAAAAATCTTGCAATTTTCCAAGCTGCAATACAGAGTACGTCATGACTCAGTGTCTGATTATTGGCATTCACTTGGTTTACATGTAATGACAACAAAACCCTTTAAATCCGTCACATCTAAAGTCTATTTTTTTTTAAGTTTAAACTGTAAAGTATTCTGGAAAAAAAGTACAAATAAATGCATTTTTAAACATCTATTGGTTTCTTTTTTAATTTTTTTTAAAAATTATTTTCAATAAAGAAAAGTTATAAAAGTTTCTTTAGGTGAACAGTTTTCTATACGTGATTCTTATCCGATTGATCTTATTTAGATGACGAATTGACGCCCTCACTGCTTCATTCAAATTCAATGATGCAGGGTACCACAACATTCACAATCTTACAAGAACGAAAATCAACAATTCTTGAACCAAATCCAACTTTAAAAACAACGGATGAAGAACCTAAAACTACCGAGATTCTAACATCAACTGCAAGGAAAGCGAAATCCATGGGTAAGACCCACCGGTTTTTAAATTTTGATTTACATAATGAAATGAAATAAAACTTAACGAAAAAAATTATAGAACATTCAATTACACATACTTAATTTATAATTTCTTTACAGAAAGTAAGGGCAAGAAATTTCTAATTCTTTTCATGCAAAATTTGTATAATTATGGAACCTTATATATTCATATAAAAACGAATAAAGAGGCAAATGTCAACTTGTCAACTTCACTTATTTAAATGCAAATATTAAGTCTGCAATGGACAAGAGAACGCATTTGCCTACCGTACAAAGATAATTTTTCCTTACGAAATGGCGTGTGTATATTCGAAAATTGAACTCAGGGCTGTGATATTGCAAACCTCGGAACTATCCACAATAACCTTATTTCAAAGAAGTACTACAGAAGAATTTGGCGACGTGACACTGATTATTCCTACAAGCAAACTCTCTACTAAATACCTTAATTCTTCAACCCAACCATATCTTCTATCAGTTGATTATTGTAGTCAATTTGCTATCGGGGGCATCTGTGAAATCAGCAATACACTTAAATGTTATAAAATAATTATAATTTTTTTTAATGATAATCAAAATGAATTTTCATATAATTCTCTCAGGTTAAGGCACTTTACGAGTAGTTATAGAACAAAAGAATATTCATATAATTTTCTTATGTGTAGGCGGTGATTTGACGTTTTTTCCCGCCATTTCAACTTCCTCATTGGCATCGACAACAGCAGCTACACAATCAACTAATCAAGCAGCAAGACCAATGGGTAAAACTTTCTACATTTTGAACATTCAATTCAAGCACATGCTTCATCTACTTAACGTATCTTGAAATTGAATTACAGGTAGCAGAGGCAGAGAATTTTTTATCTTATTTATGAGGAATTTTCCTTCAGCGATTGGGAACTTGAGTGTTCATATAACGACAAACAACGAAACAACAGTTAAAGTATTAACGTCCCCTTCCTTGGATACAGACTTTAAATCGGTTATTCATTTTAACTCCAACTTTAAACTCGGTCCCCCCTTAAACCTTGTCTGTGAATATTCTACTGTTGAACAGAAAGGTCTAATACTACAGACCTCTGAATTATCAACTGTAACAATATTTGATAGTTATTATACATACTCAAACGATGGGGCGCTGATTATTCCAATACAGAAACTCTCGAACAAATATATTGTTTCTTCAACAGAACCGTATACTACCAGTCGAAATTATTACAGTCAATTTGCCATTGGAGCACTCTATAACAGGACAAATGTAGAGATTATATTCAAACTTAAGCACAATACTCCTCTCACTATGCAGGGTAAATCGTACAGAGACGGGGATATTTTCGTAGTAACGTTAGAAAGATTTGATACGTTACAAATTGGGCATGTAACAGATCTCTCTGGCTCCTTCATAACATCCACGAAACCTATCGCAGTTTTTTCCGGAAATCGTTGTGTAAATTTGAAAAGCCTGGGTTGCAGTCACATGGTTACGCAGCTTCCTCCGACAACCGAGATAGATACTCAATATATTATACCCCCGTTCTACAACAATGCTGGGACATTAATTCAAGTGCTCAGTGAAAATCGTAGTTCCATAAACTCCAGTGTCGGTAGCAGTGTTTCAAATTTTCATTTAAATGAATTGTGTTCATCCATAATATGTTAAAACGAAAATGCTCACCATGTTAATTAATTCTGTTTATATCCCGTTTCTGTTTGCTTCTACATTGTTTTGCAAAACTGTGCTTGGCATAAATATTAACAGCATACTTATTAAATATATTATCTACATTTTTCCTTGACAAAGTTCACGCACTATAAATATAACAAATTTTATGATGAATTAATCAGTAATTTTGGTTGGGGTTCATTTTTACTGTTTCGAGCTATATATAAAGAGACCATGAATTCATATCACAACGAAATCCCAACAAAATGTGAAAGTGTCATATTGTGGTACGATCCTTTTCCTTTATAACGAAATCAAATATCTTGAATCCAGACTTTTTTCCCTCTATGTTTCCCGATGTCTATTTGACCCAGTGGAAAGAGCTAGGTACGTTAGCTAATGTCAACAGGCCCTGCAAAATGCTTAGAAAATAAAGTTTGTGTATCCTCACTAACCATGTATATTTATAAAGCTTATGATCCTTAGTCCTTGTATATGTAAACGTTTGGGCGGATCCAAGCTTCTTCTGCTGCTATGTAATATCCAAACCTATGCCGTATCCGGAAAACAAGCAATTTTCTTCACTTTTCACCCGGTTTTTGGGAAAATTCGATGTGGCCACAAGCATCGGCCACGAAGATATTTTAACCAGAAAAACTATAACATAAAAAGGATTGATTTATACAGGTTTCGTTCTGGCCGTGGGCTGTGGCCACATTGAATTTTTACAAATTCTGATATTATCGGTCGTCTGCTATACGGATCTTGACGTGAGGGGTATGGAATATTAGCTTGGAATATTATGGAATATTAGCTTTGAATATATTCGTAGAAAATAAATAACAATCGAATACATGTTTATTTTGTAGAAATCTAAATGATAAAATGCATTATTTTAAAACTCAGTTGTTAAAAATTCGTATCCGCGACCACCCTTACTTTCGTTTTCATTCCAGGCAACCAAAACACAGGCCAATGTACACATGAAATGTCTAAATTTCAGACGGTGTGTTGTTAAAAGATGTAACTGAGATGTTATTGGGTTGTTAAATTTATTAAAAAAAAAAGTATCTTATGATAATTTTAAGGCAAAAACCTAACGTCTCTAGGTTGTACATCGAACTCTAAATATAGACGTCCTCATTGGTTTACATTGACAACGTACAGTGACGCGCCAAAAGTTTTCCCAATTTTTCACTTTCGTTCGATATTTTACTGTAAACAATACGTTGTTTTATCAAACATTTGATTAAAAATTATTGAGAATTTCTCACAGTTAGAGAAAACAGTAGTCAGATGATTCATTTTAGATATAAAAAATCTCAAATTAACGACTTTTTATTATCTGTAAAAATGCTGGAAAGTTTACATGTTTCAATGCACAGATGAATTATTTTAATATTATAGCATTTACACCCTTTCTCCAAAAGCTTAATTAGTACATACTTATACTTAGTATATTTTAAGTATGATAATCTTTCAATGAATTAAATTTATATACTATCACATAGAAACGAAAAAGAAAACATAACCATTTAAAATGTTTTTATGTCTTTTCAAAAAATAATTGAAATGATAATTGAGAACAGTAGAGGCATAAGTAATTAAGTATATGTTATTTATGTCCCTGAGAACAGTGAAATAATGCGGTTAAATTCAAGAAAGAAAAAGAAGAATGGGGAAATTACATAGAACTATAATTTAAGTTTTCCTTAGAAAAGTTAAGATGAGAATATATTAAATAATGTTCGACTAAAATGATACTCATTATAATGAAAACTTCTGAATGGGACAGCTTCATATAATTTTATGGAATTCTAAGATACTGAAAATATTTTTTAAAGCTATTTATGGCGTATCTGAGCTTGAAAATAATAATACAAGACTGAGTGTAAATATATATGATAAATGTATTTTTACGTTCGAATTAAAATTTTCACCGATTTTGAACTTAAATAACCTCACGTTTCTATAGTTAAATTGACTTTAAATTTGTCTGTTATTTAAATGTGGAGTCGGTAAATAAATCGGTTGTTGCTTTAAATTTTTACTATCTTTGAAACGCGATTGATTTAAATTGTGTAATTTACAGGAAACTCCCATCTTTATATAAAGTAATAAAACAAATAGAAAGAAATGTTTTTTTTAATTTTGGTTACCTGAACTTATTAAAAAATACGCCAAATATGACTTTAAATTTATTTTATATATTCGTAACAAAGTTAAAGTGGCTATGCGTTGTATATAGTGAGGCCACGCTCCTACTAGCACTAGCTAGTGGGTTAACCCTTTAGCTCAGTCGGTAGACAGTCATTCTACAAAAACATGACCAATTAAGAATTTTATATGTCGCTTGCAAATTTACCGTTGTAATATCTTAATTATAAATTTAAAGGTCGATTTCAACTCTAAGACTTAAAATACACACATGGTTTTGTAAATATTCACCGATATATATGCAGTTAAAGTTTTAATATGAACATATTGTAATGTTGAAAAACGTATTCCACTGCAAATCTTAATGTCGCTTCATTTATATACAAATTTCAAGATGAAGTTTTCAGCCGTAAAATCGTTCGTTCCGAATAGAGTGCAATGAATGTTAAAAAATGTCTTTTATTCTATATAAAAAGAAATCAAACCACTTCTCGCAAAGAAATGCATAGATCTCCTTTCATGCGAATTTATAAGCATGTCGCTTAAAATCGATTAACTTCCGTAACGATTTTGTTTTAAATTTCAGCATAGAATGCATATTTCAAAAAGAACTGAAATTTATCTGAAAGTGACCACGGAACCTTATATCATCGATTCTAGTTGCGAGTCAGCTATTTTACTCGATTACATTTTCGACATAACAAAATGAATTTGACAAAAACAGTTGTCTCTCTTAAAAATTTAACTTCCGTAACGGTAATTCAGGAAAGTTTTTGCATTTAAGGTATAAAATTTTTGATTATTTTGGGAGCGAAATGCTTCATACTTTTGTTTAATATCCTTAAACAAACTTTGATTTTAATTATTGAAGAGAATTTTAATTTTTATTGCTGAGAATTAACTTCCGTAACGATATTTTTCCCGAAAATTTAATTTAAATTCGGATTCATGCGAGACTTCATGAATCATACTTTAGCGTTCTTTACTGAACATCAGAAACGAAAAATTGGTCAAATTCAGCTTTATTTAAAAAATAATAAGGCTTGATCAAGCATTAACTTCCGTAACACTAACTTAAAATCAATGGTATCTTGAAATTGTTGTAAAAAAGTTAATGATGCCAGATTTGTGGACAATTCTTTGTTTTCAAGTTCACTGATAGGTCCTTTAGAGGATTATGATGTTCATTTTCCTATTTGAAACAATCATTTTTTTCATGTTTTTTACTCTGAATTGGTCCATTTATCGTAGAATGACTGAGAGCGTTGGATTTTAAATCTGAGGGTTGTAGATTCGAGCCACAGTGTGGACATCCCTAGCTAATCGGTCATATATTTATAATTTTTTTTCTAACTCAGTTATTTTTACACCCTCCCTTTTGTGACAGGAAAAACTCTCCAAAATATTTGCAAATTAATTTGAATATTACTAAATGTTAATAATAAAAATCTTGTTGTTTGTCATTGCATTCAACACTACTATTTTAAAATTTCGTGATGTCTGTTGTTCTCGGGAGTTTTCGTCAACGAACGATTTATAAGTATTGCGAAAAAATGAGTGGTGTTCCTAGGAGGTTAAATATGATGAAAAGCATGACGACGACAGGGAAATATGAAAATATATGAAATATGGCCCCGTTACTTGACAATTTAGAACCAATCAGATAACGCATTGGGGGGGGGGAGGAGGGGGGGTCCCACTTAGGCTATTTATAAGCTTATATATCATACTTAAAATCTCGGAAATCGGGAAGTTCAACTACTTGGTCAGGGATCTCAAGGTACACCCCCCCCCCCCCCCCGACCCTGACGTACGTACCAGGAAGATACTGTATGTGTACTTTAAAAAGCGGGCTTCATATTTTAGCGGCTTTGGCGCAGACAACAATGCGCTAATTTATGAATACTGTAAATAAATCATAACTGAGTAAAATGCAGGGCCCCATAATCTGTAGTGTTAATTCATGGTAACGCCATCTAGTCCATAGGAAGTCCTTGCGCTAAATTTTGTACACGTACAGTTTTGTCTTTTAATTGGATATAAAAAATATTTAGCGTTACAATATAAAGACTCAGGAGAATTCTTTTCAGATCTTAATTTCTTCTTGTTGTTTTTCCTTAAATTATCAACAGTCAGGTTCTAAAGCTGAAACCACGAGATCTAGAGGAATGAATTCAACATGACCCTGGTTGATGCGTTATTAAAAGTCATAATTGTTTAACCTTATGCTTACATAAGTACCCCGTGTTTCGAGACACTGGTAACCTTATAGCTGTGCTTTGCATTCAACTTAAGGCAACCCAAGGTTATAAATGTTTTGTGAAAAAAAAAGTCGCCATCTTAAAGCTCGCAGACAGTCCGTATGGCCCAGGGTTGAAATGTTACAACCTTTTTATGAAGGGTTGAAAAAAATATACCTATATTAATATAAACCAAGTCAAAGCTTAATGAAAATTAAATATATCGTGTATGAGAGGAGTCGACCGTCTTCATTTTCTGATATTTGGGAGGGATGATAGATATGTTCAGAAAAATCACAAGTAATGCCCATGAAAACGGAACAGCGTCCAATCATTAAGTTATGTGTTGATATGGTAAAAACGGCGTCAGAGACATAATTCATGATTGTTAAAATTACTGGGAATAATCGAAATATTTTTTAGCTCATTTGACAAAGCAATTCATCTCATATTTCACAAAGTTTTGGAAGAAAAGTATTGTTTGAATTCCCCATTATATAGACAAATGAAATTAAATTTTATCACCACTATTATTTGAATTTACATCAGCTGTTTTGCATGGCTTCGCAAGTTCCCTGTTGGTAAGTTGGGAAGATTGAT